GCCAGACATTCTATTTTGGCCAAATGTATGTTCGGTCGCCTGCCTGTTAATTTTCCGCTTGTGGTTTTTTATTTTGTCATTTTCCACTTTGTGGCTGGCAGCGCTTTCGAGGAGGCCACCGCCCGGCCAGCTAGCTGTGTAATTATCTGGTTATGTTGTGCTCGGTCCTTTCATGCTGTTGTCATTATTGCCTCGTCTTGCGGCCATATAATGTTGACATTTTGCTGGCAAGCTGCTTAGGCAGCGCCAAGCGGAAATTGCATAGAGGCGGAAGTAATAGGCAATGGCAGCGTACGCAGCCAGCTGGAGGCAAAACTTGTACGCTTGCCAGGCCAATTTGAACTTGTAATTAGCAAACTCGACTTTAACTTGAAAGTGCAACAGACAGGCGCACTAATCGAAGTGTGGCAAGCTAAATAAGCGCTGCAAGGCGAGTGGCTCTACTCTGAGTGTGTGTGTGGGTGGCTCAACCGCAGGCGACGTATCTATTTGAGAAGCTTGAACGAATTGCACTTCAATTACTTGTTTCAGTGCCGCAATTACCATTCATTTGGCCAACATAATGTGTCCTTGTCAACGCAGCACACACATGCACACACACATGCTGTGGCTGCTGCTTGTTGGCACCTTTGCTTTGGCAATTTACACACGGCAATGACAATAATAAATCAAAAGTGAAAATGCAAATATTTTGCAGACAACAACTGCCAGACATTGCCGAGCCACCTTGCAGGCCAAAGCCAGTCCAGACGAACCACAGCCATCTGTGGCTCCCCATGCAGCTGAGTCCGGGCCAGAGGCAAAAGATTTATTGCAGGTGATTGCTGCTGCCAGGGGCTAGGTATTTCGACTGTAGTTTAGCTATTGCACACACACACAGACACACACGCACACAGTTATCAATAAATAATTGGAAAATGAATGCTTTGCTTATGGGAGATTTGAAAATGGCCCCAAAGACAATGGCAATGGTCTACTTAGTACGGCTAGAGAGCTATATAAGTTGCCAGTGGAGGGGGCGAATTAAACTCGTCTGCTCTGCGACCATGATATCATCAATATTAAGCTATTCATGCCTCTGGGGAAGTCAACATTGAAGTTAATTCGGTTAATTTATTTGAGAGAGCGAGAGAGAGAGAGAGAGAGAGAGAGCGAATATTATTTTTGTATAATATTCAGTTCACTCTATAAATCCTCTACGAATTGGAAGTACGCCTTTGTGATGAGTTGCAACTTCTTACTGAATATCCAATCCAACTGCAATAGATAATCACCCGTTGGTATAGCATGTGGCAGGGTGTCCAGCCTCAGAGTAAGTTTCTGTACCAAAACCAAACCCTGCCAAAAAAAAAAAATCACTTATGGTAAGATAAGCTTGAAGTGCAACAAAAAAGTTTACTCTTTCCACTCACCTCGTAAGGACAACTGTGGTTGAAGCTTGAATATTGCTTGAACATCTTATAGACGATTATTGCAATGGGATTGTAGGGTTTCTTAACAAATTGGCAGGCATCTAGGGATACTTTATAAAGCCATGGCTTGTAGCCGTTGGCACGCTTAAATAACTGGCCCACAACCAACACATCTCTCTTAACTGGATGCAGCAATGTCAGATTCAGATTAAAATACGTCAAATTACGGCTAACAGCGTACAGTCTGCATTCAGTAACGTTAATCCACGATTTATTGATCGTTTCACAGATGAAATTTGTGAATTTAAATTGTGCAGCTTGCTGTGAATGAGATTTTATATGTCATATTATATTATATATGCCATATATATTATTATAAGAAGAAATCTCTCTCACATGCAGTCTAAACGCGAAAAATACTAGCACGATTCCACACAAAATCAATCTGTTGTCCATCGCGTGTGAATTGTGTTTGATGGCCTCTAAATTTTACTCTTTAATTTTACTGCAACGGCTTTAACAGGCAATTATAAACACATTATTCGGCCCAATGCACTCTGCTGATGGAATACTCTAGATTTGCGCATTCAAAGTTCCTATAGTATTTGAAATAAAAATCACCATTTAATAATGACTAATACAAGTCGAAGCAAATATCAATTATAATTGATTAAAATAGAAAATAAATACAAAATATAGGTAACTGCATTTTCTCTTCCGCTTCAATGAATACAAACTGTTTGAAAATAATCAGAAATGCTGATTGATTATCAATGCATAGCATATAAATGTTTTTTATAGTTGTCTATAATAAGCTAGCAATTATCCAACAACCTGGATTTCGCAAGTGGCTAACTTTATGTATTATATCATAATATTATATATCATATATGTATGTATGTAAATGTATTTATTTATAGATTATATATTATATAGATATAGTGAAATATTATTATTCATTCGTTAGCTTAAGATTTCTTTGAATTACAATATTGTATCATATCTTCCAAGATGAATAACAAACAATACAAATATGCAAATACATATTTAAATATATATATATATGTATATATATGTATATATAACCTTAAGAGACTTGATTAAAATTGTCAACTATTTTCTTTATATGCTTTATTGTTTCCATCTGTTAACCAAACCAAAACCAAAAAACGGAAAACTACTTTTCTCGTCATCATCATCATCATTTTATGAAGTCAAAAGATCCTCAATGAAGTCGAAATATATATTCACGTCCAATTGAGGCTTGTTAACAAATAGAAACTCCAATGCCAACAGATATTCACCAGTTGGCATTACACTTGGCAATTTCTCGTGACGCAGATAGAAACCTTCTATTATAATCGGACCCTATAAAGCACAGATTAAATCCTTGAATACTCAAAATATACCGATTGATTACTTACTGCACTATAGGGGCACGTGTGATTCAGGTTGCTGAATTCCTTGAACAGCCTAAAGACAATAATTGCAACTGGATTGTAAGGCTTCTTCAGGAAACGACAGCCATCGATGCTTGTTGTGAAAAACCATGGCTTATATCCATTGGCTTTCTTAAATACTTGAATTTTCACAGTTACATGAGACACTGGATAATTGAGAGATAAATTCAAATTAAAAGTATTCTTATTACGACTGATCGCTCGCAGTCGACACCAATGCAGAGTCATCCAAGATTCATTATGATTGACGCAGACGGCATTCGTAAATTTAAATATGATGGCATCCTAAACATAAAATAACTGTATCAGATTTAATCAAAACATATTTTTTTGCGTTTACTCACATTTAAGCTGAGCTGCAGTGCCATCAACAGAAACAGCAGCCCAGACACAAAGAACTTGATGCCCATATCGAAGTATTGCAATTGATCTTGCGGCTTAATATTGTTATATTATATAAATAATATTGCTATGGCTATGCTATGTTCGTATATAATATATTGAGCCGTTATTATCGCTCAATTGGCTCATCAATGATTGTTTTCTCAATTGGTCGCATTTAAGTGTTATTTCACATCTCAATAGACATGGCCAGCTGACCTTTGCAACAATGGGATTTATGGATCTAGAATCTATTGTGTATGTGAGCGGATCATCATCATACATATCGTCATTGTTCAGCACTGAAAAGGTCTACCTTAAATTTAATTTACTTAATTTATTTAAATAGAAAAAAAATATAACAAAATATTTAAATATTTTTATTGCTATTTATATTAAATATTTGCTTTATATTTTATATATTTGCTTTCACTTATCTAGTCGACTCCTAAATCCTCTACGAATTCATAGTAATGCTTTGTGGTCAATTGCAATTTCTTACTGAAAATCCAATCCAATTGCAATAGATAATCGCCCGTTGGTAAAGCGTGTGGTAGATTATCGAAATTTAAATTAAAATTCTGAACCGCTACATAGCCCTGCAAAATGACGCATTGTAGGTCAAGCGATAAATGTAAATCGAATGCCTACGTACCTCGTATGGACAAGAGTGGTTCAAGTTTGTATGCTTCTTGAACATCTTATAGACAACTATTGCAATGGGACTGTAAGGTCTCTTTAAAAATCGGCAGCCATCGATGGATGCGGTGTAGAGCCAAGGCTTGTAGCCGTTTGCACGTTTAAATATCTGACCCTTGACCACCACATCTCTCTTAACTGGATGTAGCAATGTCGTATTAAAATATAAATTCGTCACATTACGGCTAACAGCACGCAGTCGGCACTCGGTGACGTTCAGCCATGATTTGTTGAAATTCTCACAGACGAAATTCGTAAATCGAAATCGTGCTGCGTCCTGTTTTATAATATTACATATAGTTAAATATAATATGTTATATAGACTTCAGACTCACCAGCAGGCTTTGCGAGAACAGTATTAGCAGTAATCCAACCAAAATCGTTCCACCGTTCATGGTGCTTCGACTAACTATCCAATAAATAGTTTAAATTGCAATTAGTATTTGTATTCTGTAGTTTGTATAGCCGACTAGACAGCTGTGTCCGCTGAAAATCTCCATTTAATAATCACATTTAAACTCATATGAATTGCAAATATAAACCATAATATAAAGAAGTAATTATATACATGTGTGCATTGGATAAGATCGATGATTTGATTGGAGCTATAGCTTAATTGTCATTGTAAATAATAGCTCAATAGAATATAGTTCACCAATCAGTAAAGCTCACTCCCCAAGCTCACCAACCTAATACCCTAACCAAGAAACCCCTTATGAAACCCTTCGATTGACAATATCGATAATTAAATGCTGTCAGTGGCCTTTGGGGTTATTAAACACCCTAATTGCTGAGTGTAGTCCGTGTTCGTTGTGTAATACCCGAATTAAACACACGTACTCCAGCGACAAGCACAAAATGTCGAAAAGTTCCGTTAGAAAAGTGATGATATTTATATTAAAATATTTATATAAAACACATATAATGGATATGATGTTCTTAAATATTTAATAATTATATTATATTAATAACTTTTTTTAGCGATTACACTCAAGACAATCGATATTTCCTCTTCAATTCAACTGTAAATAAAGTGGTGCATTTGGGTTTATTGATCTATTAGATCCTCAACAAATGAGAAATATAAATCCACTATCAAGGCCAATTTCTTTACTGAATACCACTTGGATGCCACTAGGTATTCGCCAGTGGGAAATACTAGCGGAAGATTATCCGATTGAATACACAGATCCTTTATAAACATCGGCCCCTGTAAGATTTCAGCATTGAGAGTCTCAAGGAGGCAAATATAGACGATGAATCCCTGGCACTCACCACGAAAGGGCACGTATGGTTGAAGTTGCTATTCTCCTTCATGAGCTTAAAGATTATGATCACCATGGGACTGTAGGGCCTCTGCAGGAACTGGCAAGCATTGATTTTGGTCTTATATAGCCATGGCTTATATCCATTGGCCCTCTTGAACAGCTGAAACTCTACGGCCACATCATGCACCGGATAATGCAGAGTAGAAAAGAAATTATACACTGTTCTAGTCCGATTGATGGCCTTCAGTCGGCACTCGTTGATGGTGAGCAATGTGGCATTCATGGACTTACAGACCGCATTCGTAAACTTGAAGACCGATGCATCCTGAAACACGGAATGATTTGCATTATGTGAAATTTTTACCTTAGCTTCGACATTGCATATACTCACACTGCGGCGCATCAATATTGCCAGAAGTAAGAAAATCATCAGCCTGAGCTCCATCGCACTGTGTGTCAAATTGATTTCAGCCAGCTTCAAATGTATATGAAATCTCATTTGTGTTCTGCGCTTGAGCAATTTTACTAATATTTAAAAAATTGCTTCTTGTTTTGTTTGTTTATTTTCGCATTACAAAGCTAATGATCCCGTTATGAATTTCAGCAAATGACTAAATAGTGCGGCTCCAAACATAAATAGTTTTAATTGTCGTTACAAAACTTGTGTATAATTAGATAGTTTCAAATATAATTATGTGTGTATAACTGAATTAACTTAATATTAAAAATAATGATGAGTATTCAATTTTCTGAGACAAAATCTTGCCTGGTTTTTGGACACAACTACTTAAAGTTTTTCAGTTATGTAGCTCAACTTTAGCCTTGCCTACGTGGCGCATTGTGGCATGACCAAATTCAAAAATATGAATTTTATAATTAACTTTGCAGTTTTTGGACCACACACGTGCTTCACCTGACGATGAGTAGTCAAAAAATCTCTATTTATATATATGTATACATATATATAGTTATTTAAAATGATAATTAGATCTCATATGAAATTCGTTTATGTGGTCAACATTTTATGATAAAAAATTGGACATGAAAATAAGTTTTTTATTTTCCAGCAATCAGCGAGTTCTTTTAAATTTTAATGGGAAATTTACTATAAATTTTACAATGTATTCGATATAAATTTGATATACATTCCTAAACAAAATATATATATTTTTTAAATAATAATGCTCATCGCTTACTGTTCCATAATATCTTCTATAAATGAATAATAAACATCCAATCTTGTTGTTAGTTTCTTATGAAAGATCCAGCGCATTGACAATAAATATTCTCCACTTGGCAGCGCGAGCGGAATAGATTCCGCTTGAATATACAGGTTCTTGACATACACTTGCCCCTAAAGAAATTCATTAAAGTCAATATATATATTATAATAAATAACATATTTAATAAAAATATAATAAGCATACTCACTGTATATGGACATGGATGATTCAGGTTCGAATAATCTCTGAAGAGTCTAAAAATTAAAACGACCAGCGGATTGTAGGCTCTTTTTAGGAATTTACAGCCATCAAATTTGAACTTGTACAGCCAGGGCTTATAGCCGCTGGCCTTCTTGAAGAACTGGGCCTCAACCGCAACCTCGGTGATCGGATAATGAAGTGTCGAATTGAAATTATATGTGGTTACATTACGATTCACAGCCCTCAGTCGGCACTCTGTGATTGCGATCAGAGTCTTGTTGTAATTCTCACAAACTGCATTCGTAAACTTCATTATGGATGCATTCTACAAAACAGATATGTTTCCCCTCAATTATAGAGTTGATTGAGTAGTTCTGCTATGCTCACACTGGGCCATATAAGTATAAGCAACAGTCCAACCGCTTTGAATTCGATTCCCATTGTGATAGGGTGTGGATGAAACTGAATATGAATTTTAGATCGAGTGTAGAACACGTTGCAAAGATCATTTTTAGGATCATTATCTATTATTTAATAGAGCAATTAAAGTAATTTCTTGTCAATGATCGAACTGTTTCGCTTGGCTTCAATTGTTGGCTTAGCCATTTGACATTTTTAATGGCATCAGAAGCAAAACGGCACAATTAATATTAACAGCGAACACAAACTGTCAATACAACTGTCGACCCGGACAGCCAGTTGACAATTGCAAATGAGGCAAGCGAGACAGGACGGAGGGTGGTGGGCTGGCATAAGCAAACGAAGCCACTTGCTGCCTCGAAATAAACTCATTACAGCAATTTATGCAAAATGTTCAAACCGCAATTGAAAATCCATTTAAATGAAATGCCACCAAATGGCACACACACACACAAATACACCCGCCCTTGCATAGAGAGGTCCTTTTTGGGCTGCAGAATGTGTGCAACCCCCAGCCAAATGCTGTGGTTGCTGTGTAGCTGGCGCCTGCCGCTTCCATTGAGGCATATGAATTCAATTATAAAACAGCGCCACCTTTGACGCGACGCCACAACAAAGCCATGGCAAGGGGCGGGTCGTGGGGCGTGGAAGCGTGATGTAAGGGGTTCGGCTGGCAGTGCCAGCTGTTGGTAAATAACATGCTCATGGCCATGGCTCTAATGAAACATTTCGGTTGTTTTCCTTCTCTCTTTTTATTTTTCGTCAGCCATTTGGGGGCGACAAAACTTGTTAATTTTATGCAGCGCACAGACAGCCAGGAGCTCGGCCCGGACAGGGGCTGTCTGTGTGTCGCAGTTACACTTCCTGTGGCATTTGCATATTCCCATTTTTTTGCACTGCTATTTGCCTTTGGCCCAGCTAGCCTGCGCCTCGCAACTAGCACTAAAAAGCAAATGCCTAAAGGAAGTTTACATTTTGCAACCGCAGGTGGTTAACGATACGCGCCCCCAGCGTTCAAGCAACGCGCGGCTCTGCTCACCTGCCGCCGAACGGCGGAACAACATAAATAACACAAACAAAAGGCCAGGAGCCAGAGCCAGAGCCAAGAGTCGACTGGCCCACTTGACACCTCATAATAAAATTAAGTATACGCCACGCAAGCTGGCTCCAATATTGCACGGCTTCGCTGGCTGACTCCTGCGCTGACCGTTATTTATGCGCTCGCCAGGCGGTCTACGGCAGTTGTCTGCCTGTCCGCCCGTAGGAGACACAGGACGCGCACACAGCGTGCAGTCCTTCAGCTTTCGCTCGGCCTTTGAAGTTTATTTGCGTATTTCAAGTGCGACCGAGGCTCATTTCAATATTCAAGCGCGCTCAGTTGTTGGTTGATTGTTGTTGTTTTTATTGCCGCTGCCGCTGCCGCTGCCGCTGCTACTGCTGCTGTTTTAGTTATTGTCCTTTGTTGTTGGGTGGCCTCGACAATTGTTTAACTAGTTGGTGTCAGTTATAATGAATTTTAAATTAAGTTGTTATTGTTGCCAGCATTAAACGCTGCTGCTGCTGTTGTTCTTGTTGTTTTTGTAGCGAGAGCTGTTTATTTGCATAATAAAGAGGATGACTAATGTTAATTAAACTGCAGCAGACAATGAGCGACTGAGTTTGGGGCTTTTTAATTAAAAAGCGCAAGCAAAAACGACTTCAAAGTAGCTTCCACTCGATTTCAGTTGGAAATTATGTTAGGCAATCGCAGTCAAACTGCTGCTGCTCTATGCAATTCTCATGAATACGACTCTGTTTGCCAATCGAAATAAACTGCCGCTCTTCTATGCAATTCTCATGAATTCAATTCGTTTATGTTCATTGTAAACTTATCTTATTGCGAAGCAAAGCAGACTGAACGGCAATCAACGTTAACTTTTAACTGCTTTAACTGCCTTTCTATGCAATTCTCATAAATAAGTCGATGGGTCTTTAACTACGGCAGCTCATTGCTTGCATTACATTGAATTTACCGAAGTTAATATACACATCTTTAGACATTAATCGCATTACATAAACTTAAACTCAAGCTAAAGTCATGATAAGCAAGCGAGGTATAACTTCGGCCTTTCTATGTGATTCTCCTGCAGTCAAGTAAGCCTTACCAAGTAAATTTTATTATTCAATTCATTATATTTTATTACAATTTTTAAGCTTGACTGAATATATATTCAATTTATTACAGCATATTTTTAGGCCGCACAGGAATTTATTAGTTCTCAACTTGGCTTTAAGCTATTTATTTTGATATCGCTTTGCAATTAAATAGAACCTTTATAGCCCAGCTCACTGGCATCAAAACGAAAGTAGATATTCCGTGAACGGCGCTTAAAACAACTAAGTGAAGCATTGCTAAGCATAGAAAAGACTTAAAGCAAACAGAAATACGTCGCCCTCCCCACCCAGGCAACGCAACAAACTATTTGCACAGATGCCTGGCACTAGCTACAACAACTACAACTACAACAACAACAAATGCTATGACTACGACTCTATCTACATGCCAACACTACAGACCGTAGTCCGGAGTACAAACAGCCAGATTAAATCCTTTCAGAATAACTACGCAAACGAATAGCATATGCAAATGCCCGGACTACAACGAGCTACAACAACTTTTTGCATTACTCAGATTGCCACGCCCCCGTCCTCCTTCACCTCCTGCTGCTCCTGTTGCCTGGCTTATGGCCCGAAAAGTTTTTGGCTTCCAGCTCATTTGTTGGTCACGCCACGCAACATGGTAAAATACGAATAGGATGCATTCAGCAGACTCTGAAACATGGCCAAAGTCATGGGGTAAACGTGGCCCGCCTTTATCTGAAAGGGAAAACCAGACTCCAAATGAATGAAATGGAGCGCATGCACAAAAGCCACGATTAGAATCTGCCAAATGAAATGCATGCGATGCTCTCAGAGCCAGCGACACTCACCACCAGAGGCCTTTGCGTTTGCATCAAAAAGATCAGAAGAGTTCTCCGAAAACCCATGCCACACTCCAGCCACGGCACATTGTAAACAGCCTGAGAGACGCGCACGCTCTGCAATGGAAACAGTCGTTCGTAGAATGCAATAGAAGGTGTTTGGCTTACCTCAATCATCAAGTCGTTGGCACGATTGTAATAGGTGTAGAGCACATAGAGCATGGTCAAGATATACATGATTATTGAGATCATCTGCGTTTGTGAGGTGATCTATAAATAGATTAACGGCATATAGTAAACTGAAGTAGCTGAAATTCAAGAAACTCAACTATATTTAAGCAGAACAGTAGCGAGCATATAATACCTCCAAAGATCAGAGCCTCGGCGCCTATGATATAGGCGATCAGTGCTGTCAAATTGCGCACATAGCTGGAAATGAGATTAGAGAGAGACTGTTACTGCTGACAGTTAATAGTTGCTGTTTATGTTAAGTGTAAGCGGTAAATATTAAGAGTGTGGTGATTAAGGATTATTTAAAGAGTAGTGTGAGCCTTGTTAAGTTTGAGCTGGAGAATCATTTTCTGATCTAAACAAGATTTGCGGTTGGATTGAATAAATGAGTGTATGACATATTGAAAATATATGGAATCTGTGACTCGTTGAGATTATGATGAAAGATAAATATATAAATGTATAACAATTTACAGCAGCATTACTATAGGATGTATATTTAATGCTTACTCTTATACACATCTTACTTAAATATGAAATGAATTGTATTTATGAATATATGCATTCCATAATAATTTAACCTCTATCCATAGTAGCTGACAAATATGTTATATATTAAATATTCTATACATTAATTTCATATATATTATTATATGAATATGAAAGGTTTGCTTATGGTTTTTTCATTCGATATTCTCCCACTTTCAATGGGTGCAGTGTTTAATGAGCTGCCCTACGACTCGACAGCTACAGTACCTGGCAATGGTAATATGCAGTTGAATGCAAGCAATCAGCATTTGATAGCGCTGCTCCTCCGCCTGCAGCTGGCCGATGCGTGACAACTTGTGGGCCAATATCTGTAGCAAGGCCCGGCCGAAGAGCGCAAAGGCCGCAAAGAGACTGACAAAGGGCATGTACATCATGGAGAGCACCACGGGAGTGGGCAACTGCAGCACATAGAATATCTGGTAGGCGGGTGTGCGCTGCATGTCCATGCCCGGTAGGGCCACGCCAAACGGATGGGCTGTTGGGCAGGTGGGGGGGGCGGGCGTATTCATTACTGTTAAGCTGGAAAGCCTATCAAACATTATCCGCTTACTGCGTTGCTCCAGGAACAAAGCAAAGATTAGTGCGCCCAAAATGTCGAGAAACGAGGCCGTCAAATTGAATATGGCCAGGCGACGCGACTCGGCCACGGCCATGGCCAACAGATTGCGACAGAACTCATCGCTGGATGCCTCGATCTCCCGATAGAGATGCGTCACTTGCTCCAGAAACTTCTCGAACGCCAGGCGCTTCCACATGACGAACAGCGTGCGCATCAGGGCATTGAGTATGGCCGAAAAGAAGAACAGATTCAGTATGAAGGCAGGCAGATCGCCCCACATGCGCAGCAAGAAGATGAACTGCATCAGATTCATCAGGCAAACGGGCAACACAAACGCGTACTTCCGCCAGCGGGTCGCCGGACTGGGATAGAGCACCGCCAGACGCCGCCAAATGCCCACATTGATGGCCACCAAAGCAATATCCTCAGCCATTACCGCACCACTTTGCACTACTTCCGGCCCGGAGCACCACTCGACACTGTGGCCCCCGAGTGCTCGGCAAATGTCTTTTATTGGCTCACTCGCTCGCAAGGCGTTTGGCCAATTGTCCTCTGGCAATCGAAGGCGTCGCCCTTAGCCTATAATTTGCCAAATTGGCTGTGCGACAATGCAATGCTATGCAAATGCAATGGAAGTGCCAAAGTAGGGGCTAAATTTCCATTTTGTGACAGCTATTCAATTCGTAATGTAATTGTAGCTAGCAGATCTGTGCATATATAATCGCATCTATATATAATTGGATTTTATTGCAGAGAATTAGCTAATAGGTGTGTATTAAATATTTATATCATATAAAATGCATTTTAGTAAAGGAAGAAGGAAATAACCTTGAGATTAGAGAACGAACTTGCGGAATAAAAATCCCTAAGAACCCCTAGAAATATATATTTGACAAGATATCATAGCGAAGAAGATAGAAATTATCTAAAAATACAAAATAAAAAATAAAAAAAATTAAAATAAAAAAACAAAAAAAAAAATAACAAATTTATAAACAACTTTTTTGTTTAGTTAAAAAATAAAATTTAATCAACAATTCGTAATCCCACTCTCAATTGAATTAAAATTCAAAAGTCTGAACAACGCTGAAAATTAAGATTGTATTTAAGCTTAAATTTTTCCTTCAATACAAAAAAGTCCTTTAATGGGAGCCTCGGTACAGCTGATGCCAAGAAGATTAAGAATTAAATCGCAAATTGTGCTCTGCATATGCAAATCCGTATTTAATTTAAGCATCGATTTTCCACACGTACAAAAGACATCATCAGCAAAATCAGTAAAAATGTGCCAGGCGCTGCTCTTCGGCTGCTGTTCGAATATCCTTTCAAAAAGCTAACGAGGCGATAACGTGGCCAGCAGCAATCAGGCAGTGGGCCAGGCCATGGGCGAGGCAGTGCGGCAGTGCGGCGATAGGCAGACATGACTTATTAAACAATAAAAGCGGATTATCCGTAAACAACTGGGCAAACATGCCAGAGCCAAATATTTGGAGCCGAACCGCTCGCTTATCATGTGGACAGCGGCCAGAGACAAAAACAAACAGAGCAAGAGCCACAGAGGCAGAGTGAGAGTGAGAGTGAGAGAGAAAGAGAAAGAGAAAAAACAATATAAAAATCAACAAGCGACGGGCATAACATAATTCAACAACAATGCCAGCTCAGCAAATACGGCGGGGAATTAAAATAAGACCTGGGCAAAGGCGCAGGCAACGGCACAGGCACAGGCACAGGAGCCGGCACTGGAGCAGGACCTTGGGGTAGACCAAGCCCATAAAGGCACACATTATGGCCACTTAACCGCGCGTTATGCCGCAAAAAGGCAAAGGACAAAGCCAAATGCTCAAGCCGAAAAAGTGCCTGCGTGTGACTGTGTATGTGTGTGTGTGTGTGTGGGCGACTGTGGCGTATGCGCAATATTTTGTGCAAACATTACTAAAGGCCAGGCCAGGCCAGACCAGGGCAGGCAGCAGACCACATGCAATGTCAGTTACAGCTGCTCATGCGAGGCGCTGCACATAAATCAAAGGACAACCAAAGGACGTAAGTATCTGGTCGAAAAATGCATTTTGAAACAGCAGCCAGAATTTATTATAAATTAAAAGCTAAGCTCAGCCAAATGGACGACATTTAATTATCACATTTTGTGCAGCAGCGGCAGCAGCAGCAACGACTCCAATGAGCACAATGGGCCACACACATCAAAGGACAGCACACGCATACACACACACACACTCACACACACAAGTTTGGTCCTCGTCCTGTTAACCCTATAAGCCACAGACTGACATTAATTACGTATACTCTCAGCTGCTTGGCTGCGGCTCCGGGCTCCGATTTGCAGCTGAACTTGTATAAAATTAATATCAAGCAATTAACAGCAAATTCCGTTGTGATTTAAACGATTCGTCTGTCCCTGATGGAGGAGGCACTGCTTAAGTGTGGCAGCTCAGCAGCCGCCTTCTCTGGCGCAATTGTGGGGGCGTGTCAATATTGACTTTAACACAATTCTAGTGGGCGATAGCTAAGCAGCTTTTTGCCAATTAAGCAGCTCACAGTAGCTTATTTTTGAAGAGAGAGGGAAAGAGTGGAAAAGAGAATGAAAGAGCGAGGGAGAGAATAAGTCAGAGAAACAGTCAATAGTTAGGCAGAGAGAGAGAGAGAGAGAGAGAGAGAAAAAAGGGAAAGTGTAGGAGTTAGATAGAAAGAGAGAGAGAGATAATGAGAGAATTGCCTAGAAAACTGAAATTGTTTTGCTAAGCTTCTAATTTGGCATTGGTCTATTGTTAAGCGTAAATTGCAAAACTAGAGATGAGCAGGTGGCGTGAACTATCGTGCATAAAATTCGATAGATTATTTTTAATACATTTTCGATTTAAATTGCGTTTTACATATATATAAATTATAGTATATATACAAATATATTTTTTTGATTATAAATATGTTTTAATTTTTGCAGTGAATTTGATTGTTTTTGTAATTTTTTTATAAAAAAAAAAATATTATACATTTTATTCAATTATTACACCTTTTATTTTTATTTTTTATTATTTATTTTTTATTGTTTTATTTTATTTTATTTCTATTATTATTATTATTATTATTTTTATTATTATTATTATTATTTTACCTTTTATTATTTTTTTTTTTTTTACTCTCTATACATATATTTTTTTTGTACCACCTTGTACCATCTATACAATTTATATATCTACATTTTTTGTATTCTCCCCTTCATACCACATTTCCAGTCCATCTCTAGCTAGTTGGCTTTTGCATCAGCTGCTCGCAGACGCTCTCTGTTCTGGCCCCCCATTTCTAACAAGAGCGAGTCAAGCAGCCTGGCTAATGCGGCTTAGTTTTGTTAACGATTTGCAAACACGTGTGACTTGCTGCCACAGACCGAATGCTGACTACCGAACCGCACCGCCTTCAATGCCAATTCTAATGGCGATTGCGAGCAATCCCCCCATTCGCAGATAAACAACAACGACAACAATGAAACATTCGCTTTGATGATATCTAGACATGCTAGATTTAGAGCTATGGCATCATATCCCGCTCAGACTTATGGATGTGGGCAGCCCGTGAATAAGTCAACATAAGATAATGCGATGTGATTGTTTACACAAAATAAAACCATGCAGTAAAGTGTATATAAATTTCTCTAAGAAAGTGTATATACATTTCTCTAAGAGCAAAAAACAAAGTTGCAATTTGCTCTTAAATTGGCCTTGACTGCATATTGCTGAAACCGGAATTTATAAAGAATTCATATACTTTACACAATATGATGAAAATAAATTTTAAAAAATAATAATAATAATAAATATAACGGGAGCAAATACTTGATTTTCAATATATATATATATATAATTAAGTATTTGCATACTAAAGTTTATAAAATACATACAGCTATTATATTTATAAAAATCTTAGGTATATATGTATACAAAAATAAAAATTCTGATAAGAATGTCTAAAATAAGTTAAAAATATTTTTGTTCAAAATTTTTTTGCTATACATTCAAAAAAATAAATATAAAATAAATACATATATAAATATATCTAATTTAATTAAAATATACAACAAATATATAGAATTCGATATGATATTTTTATGTAGGTATATCTTATTAAAATTGCAGCAGTTTTATCTGAGAGCGTCTGAATACATATGTATGTATGATATTATGTATATGTATATAAATATATCGTGTATATGGTTAATCTGTAGCTCGCTAAGCTTTTTTTTTTTTTTTGCCCGCGCGGTTCTAAATTAATTGCCTTAAGTGCCCAAGTAGAATAATTTGAGAGATTCAACTTCTACAGATTGAAAATTTCATTATACAATAACAAACAATTCAAAACAATATTAAAAAGAAACCAATGGAAGTGATTCAATTCGGTTTACTAATAATGATTTTTTTGTTAGATATTTATACCTTATATATATTTATATATACTTTGTTATATATTTATACTTACTTACTTTGCGTGGTTTCTTAAAAATGATTAGTTTTGATTTCTAATTACTCATAAAGAAAAAATGTTTAATTTGTCACCTTATTTTTTTATGGAAATATTTATTGTGGCTTTTTTTTTTTTTTGACTTGCAAATATTTTCTGCTTGATATTGCTTCAATCCGAGCGAGCGAATAGATTACTCACTGAGTGCATTGTCGCATCATGAGGAACTAAGTACAAAAGCATATGTACACACAGGCATATGTACATATTCGTATACATATATTAATATCTATATTATATAATATTGGTGCAATGAAGGCCTACTTTGGTGTCGCTGAGTTTCTCTTTGTCTGACCCACATCTCATAAAGTGAGCGGGTCTCCCGGTGCGAGCTAAGGCAGATTACAGCCCACCTGTGTGACCACCTTGGAGGCGACATTGCTGGCCAAACGGACGCACTCGGTCAGCGAACGTTTCTCCAGCCAGGCGTGCAGGAAGCCCGCAGCAAATGCATCGCCAGCTCCTGTGGCGTCCACCAGCTGCTCGGCGCGTTGTGCTCTGAAATCCTCGAATCGCAAATCGCCGGGTGGTGCGCGCTCTGCCACATAGTTGGTGGCCAGCTGCACTCCTGCATCGCCATTTGTGATCAACAGGATCTTGGGCTGGCCCAACTCCAGCAGCTGGCTGGCCAGCTTCTCCACGGTCTCACAGCCGGCGACGTCGGCCAGTGCCTGAAACTCCTGCCGATTGCCGAATATGAACGTCGCCCGGTGGGCCAGCTGCAGCATCTCCTGCGAGTGCTGGCGCACTATGTAGGGAGCACTGAGATTCAATGCCAGGTAACGACGCTCTCGCACCAGGTGCATCAGTATATAGTCACAGACCTCTTTGCGATACGGCACAAAGAAGCCCTCCACATAAAGAATTTGCCTACGCTCAATCGGACGCAGAAAGCTTTGTGTGTCATGCAAAGCAGCGCGCTTCAGCTCTTGAAGAGAGAAGTGGGCGGATGCGCCGATGTTAGCGTAGAGCGTGGGACTGTCTTTGTACATGAAGCAGACACACTGACCCGTTTGCACATCGTCAACCACTTGCAGGCGTGCCTCGATGCCGCACTCCAGCAGCAGGGAGCGCAGCTCCTCTCCATGCTTATCGCTGCCAATCGAGCCAAAGAACTGGGCATCTGTGCCG